CCCAGTGAAATGAAGCGTAGTTTGCTGGTTTATAAACTTAACGGGTTTTTTTGTTTTTGTTTTTAATGTTGAGCTAATGACGCATGATAAATAACGATTCTTAATGTTAATGATAGTGTACCTTTTGAAAGTGTTCTTCATCGGATATGACCACACTCTCGTAGACGAGCAAAGGACTATCTTTGTCACTGCCCGACGCGTTTTGCCAATTTACAAGTGTGTGACATTTTCAAATCTAATGCAGTGATTTATTCTGTCATTAAATGATCAGTGGAAATATATGCTTATACCTCGAGTAATTTCTTTTTTAAATGAAACCTGTATTCGGTTTGACATTTTGGTATGTAACGTAAATAAGGTACGACAAATGTGGGCTTAAACGCATTCATTTTTTTTACAAAAACTGTGTACAGAATCTTTTTATGTATCGATATGATTAATAAAAGTTGTACCTTTCATTGATGTAATTTGTGAAAATGGTTTTCTTATGTTTTCGTCCAAGACATGTTACTTTTGACATTGAAAACAGTTATTTGACATTTTGACACACTCGGCGAGCAACTAGGTAGACATCTTTTGAAAAGATGTGCGAACCGTTTTGCCTAACACTAGCAGTGTTTGAATGGACTTTCGCACATCTAATGCAGTGTGATGTGGTCTATAGTCTACCTACAGTTTAAATATAATTACCTGACTTTTTAAATCCTGGGTAGTTACAAATTTGTATAGCTCCTGCTGCACACATTTTTTATTTTGTCGCACTGAATATACAAATTTGTCACTACTCAGGATTCAAAATTGCATCGTGCAAGATGTGCGCACAGACGCATTGTCGCTATGGACAAATATTGTCCCTTTGCCACTTAGAGTGTACCTCTCACATTCCGTTTTTCTGGCGAGAGTGAAAGTCCCGAGCCGGCAGTCCTTAGTGCGGATATGTCACAACGAGAAGGGTTTTGTTCAAACAAGTTCGTGCTTCAACTCTGGGGCGTAAGCCGCGCTTGTTTCATGTGCTCGTGGTAATCCAATCGTGTCCTTGCAGGGCTTGAAGTTGGAACATCTGATGGACGACTTGCTCGTGATGGTGATGCAGTACCTGGACGTGGAGGACGTCTTTACTTGCCGCCTCGTGTCCAAGAGACTCGAGTCCTTAGCGCTGCTGCCGGGCGTGTGGCGGCATCGGCGACTCGAAGCCAAGGACCCATGGGCGTGTCCGGTGCTGCGTCTCGCGCCGTGCTTGGCGAAGCTAGTAGTGCACTTCCCCTCCACCAAGAGGTGTCACTGGCTGTCCGCCTCGGCAAGGTGCTCCGTCTCTGAGTTGGAGCTGACCGTGGACGGCGACCCTGCCGACGTCGCTTTGACCATCCGTAGCCAGGCGGCGCTTGGACGCCTCAGGCGCCTCTGTGTGTATGTAAAAGATGGAGTGCAAGAGAAGGAAGCAGCCGCTCTGTTGGTGGCGGTGGCGTCAACACATAGCCTCGAGAGGCTCCGAGTCCAGTTTTTACCAAAATGCGGCATTCCTATGTCCTGCTTCCTTCGCCACGCGTTGCCCTCGCCCTCCCTCAAGTTCTTCCAGTGTTCGCTTGGCGCTAACACCGATGCCTTTTACAACTTCATCCTGTCAAGGCACGCTGCCACTCTGGAGGAAGTCCTTCTAGAACCTTGCGTATACGAGGCTGCCTTAACCACGGCCTCATGGTCTGAGAGGCGCTGGACGCTGTTGGCCAGCATCACTCACCTTCGCTACCTGCGGTGCCCCCTCTTCCCGGGGCTGGAGGCCTTGGCAAAGTGTGACTCGCTGAGTAAGGTCTACCTGCACCTGTCTCCCGGCTCAGACGCCCGCCTCGAGTCGGCCGTGAAGTTCCTGCGCTGCACCGAGAAGCTGCGCGACCTCACTTTGGACTACCGAACCAAAGACGATTCCACCCTCATCGCCGCGACCTCGGCCGCGACCCTGGTTCTGGTCTTGTCCTCGTCCGCACGGTCCCGGGCGACCATCGAATCGCTCACCATTCTCGGCGTGCAGTCCACGCTCCCCTTGCCCGGCGCCCTGCTGGAGATGCTGATCACCGCGCTGCCCAGGTTGCCGGCTCTGCGACACTTGGAGGTGGACAGGAAGGCGGCCGATCTGCTGCGGAGCATCACACCCGCCACGGCGCCGGCCCTGCGCTCCCTGCGCGTGTTCATCCAGGAGCCTTCATGCCGCCACTCCTGGGTGCACCGAGACCCGCTCCTGGCGCTTCTGACGACGAACCCCTTGCTACAGTTGTGTGTGCCCCTCCGAGACGGAGGAAAGTTGTACTGTCGTGGTGACTCACCCTGTGCAGTGTGCGCCTTAGGCTGCCACAGAAGACTCCGTGAGGAGAGAGCTAACCTGGTCAAGGGTAAGCGTAAATACTTTTCGTGGGTACTCCTTCCACGTGACGCCCATGACTGAAATAAAATGTATTTTCTTACGCAGCACTTTGTGTTGGCTCGTTAATAATGATATTATGGTAAATTGATTTGTGGCCTCTTAGGAATATTTTGATTTCGATTTAGAAGAACGTTTGTACAGTATCTTAAATTCACAATAAACGATTTTGTTTAACAAAGTGTGCTACTTTTGAGAGCACAAAGGACCTATCTGGTGTTTAATTAGATTTTACACTTGTTTATCAATTTTTACTGGAATCCTATTCTCATTTATGGAGCGCCAGCTCAGACAGGAGTCGTCGTCTGATTCAAACTCACAGTAATTGTGTATACTACCAAGATTGTCGAAGCACACGAAAAACAAAACAACAAAAACATTCGCTGTTGCAGACAAAAATTCGCTGGCTCATACTCAACGAATTTTATTAGTTGTTCAAGCGAATAATTTGCCACGGTAGCAAAGTATCCGCTGAGGTGGCTAACGCGAGCCCTGTTCCAGTGAACGGCACTATTTCTGCTTCAGGGCACGCATTCGCCTCCGCAACTAATTCTTTGCTTCCGTAGCAAATTATTCGCTCTGACAACTAATAAAATTCGTTGAGTCTGAGACAGCGAATTTTTGTCTGCAACAGCGAATGTTTTTTTTCCGTGCAGCTGTAGTGAAATGTACGAATAAAGCATTCCGTTGAAACTGAAATGCAGAGGAATTCGGGAAACAAGAAAACTTCCCATGTTAAACCATAGCGATTTCAGGTTTACAGATATACTTTATTAGATCAACATGTCTGGACCGCAGAGTTGCCATTACTATGCCAGCGCCACCCGCGCTTAATTTATTATCGCAAATTTAAGACACTTAGTAATTTTGTTAGCGTAACCTGCACTTTGACAGTCGATGGTGATGACTTGGACTCGTCGTGTCATGACGAGAATCCCATCACACAACAGCAATAGACCATTGCAGTCTAGGTCCGTCAAAGGCAAGTGGGGAAGAAAAGAACTAAGTCGGAAACAGATTGCCGGAGCCACGATGTAGTTGCCGGAAACGAAGCCTGCAAACAAGGCCTGGTGAAAGGGAGGGGGGGGGGGTATGATGGCCCTCTGCTTGTTTCTAGTGAGCATAGCCTGCAAGGTAGGCCATTGTGTTGCGAAGCCCCTGTGCGAAGGCAACCAGCAGTGCTCGCCCCATGGCTCCCCTCTCCCCCCGTAGTCACACGGACCTGTAAGCCGCGCTTTGCTAATCGCCACTGAATCGACGGACAAGGGAAGGTGGGGTAGATTGGGACGGATTTTTTCTTTTTGCTGTAGGTCGGAGATCATGCATGTTGGAATGACCGGTACTGGCTACAATTGTACATTAATATGTGGCCTATCACAGCCTATATCGTCCTGATTTTTTATCTCATGCTCTTTGGCTGTAGAGAGATTTCCCCGAAGTGTGTCACCTGTCCCAATGTTCCCGGGCACGGGGCACATTGGGACACCATAAGACTACATAAGATGGGGCACATTGGGACAGTTGACGCGCTTACCTGTGAAATATCAGCATACGAACCACCTTGCGGTCTGGAAGCCTAAATAGGCCAGTTATCTACAAGATGAGACAGTTTTTGGATTTTTTGAGGGGCTACATTGAGCACTTTTGGTGTACTGTCCCAGTGTGCACTTAATTGCCTTTCCTGTGATTTCTTTCTTTTTCTTCGGTATTTTGGGATTCAACTCAAAATCCTTACTTGCAAAATGCGTCGTAAGGAACTACCTACTGACCAGCTACTTGCGCGATTTTCTATCTCATTTCAGTTTGCGTAGAAAATAGCAAAATAAAATAAGAAGGTACCTTACTTTTAACAGATTTTTGAGCTTATCGTACTTTGATATTTTCTGTACATCAGACAAGGTGTGCAATCTTCCCAACACTGATACCATCATGAAATATGCTAACATTGGCTACGTGTCAATTTTTTTCAGCACGTAAATACTGTTAGAAATATGTGATATTGCTACTGTCCCAATGTACCCCGTGTCCCAATCTACCCCACCCTCCCTCACTCGTCAATCACCCTGAGCTTCTGACAATATGGTTTCCCGCGGTTCCATGCTCGGGACGTGTCCTCTAGTGTGATCCGGCCGCAACGACGGGATTAAGAATAGC